GTCCCTCTGGGCTGCAGGACAAAGGCGCGAAGGCAGGCCCACACCCACCCCCTGCACAGGGCTAACCTGCGCGTGGACGGCTGTGACCCAGTCACCTCACAACCGAGCCACGAGGCTAATGAGACGGAAAGAACGAACAGACCATCAGCACAGAACAAAGAGCCCAGAAGAAGAACTGCTGACCTAAAAGAAGAAGCCTCGTCGCACACGAACACGGCGGAGGCGGTCCCGGGGGGCGGAGGGAGAAAGGCTCCCACAACCGCTCCGGGCGCTCGCACGAGAGCAGAGCAGCGCTGGATGGTGGCCCCGAGACGACCCCACAGCCGGGCACAGGGGAGGCCCAGCAAGCACAGGTTCTCACAGGACATCGTCCCTCCTGACGGGGACCCACGCCGAGCCCCCGGGGGGCCTGGGACCCGATGACCCTGAACCCTGTGTAGGCTACGTGGGTTCCTACACGAACACACCTACGATAAGACAACTCACAAATGAGGCACAGCGAGCGATTAACAACAACAGCTAATAAAACAGAGCCGCTGCAACAACAGACTGCAGCCCGGCCGACGTGGCTCCGTGGCTGAGCATCGACCTGTGAACCAGGAGGTCACTGTTCGATTCCTGGTCAGGGCACACGCAGGAGGCAGCCAATCAATGGCTCTCTCTCATCATTGATGTTTCTATCTCTCTCTCCCTCCCCCTCCCTTCCTCTCTGAAATCAATAAAAATATATTTTAAAAATGTGAACTGTAATAAAAGTTATGTGAATGCGGCCTTGTTAGTAAAATACTGAAGGTGACTTGAACACAGGCACTGAGGTACTGAGACAGTCCGAGAACTACGTGATGGACAGGCAGGGACTAGGTGATGGACAGGCAGGGACTACGTGATGGACAGGCAGGGGCTACGTGATGGACAGGCAGGGGCTACGTGATGGACAGGCAGGGGCTACGTGATGGACAGGCAGGGGCTACGTGATGGACAGGCAGGGGCTACGTGATGGACAGGCAGGGGCTACGTGATGGACAGGCAGGGGCTACGTGATGGACAGGCAGGGGCTACGTGATGGACAGGCAGGGGCTACGTGATGGACAGGCAGGGGCTACGTGATGGACAGGCAGGGGCTACGTGATGGACAGGCAGGGGCTACGTGATGGACAGGCAGGGGCTACGTGATGGACAGGCAGGGGCTACGTGATGGACAGGCAGGGGCTACGTGATGGACAGGCAGGGGCTACGTGATGGACAGGCAGGGGCTACGTGATGGACAGGCAGGGGCTACGTGATGGACAGGCAGGGGCTACGTGATGGACAGGCAGGGGCTACGTGATGGACAGGCAGGGGCTACGTGATGGACAGGCAGGGGCTACGTGATGGACAGGCAGGGGCTACGTGATGGACAGGCAGGGGCTACGTGATGGACAGGCAGGGACTAGGTGATGGACAGGCAGGGACTACGTGATGGACAGGCAGGGACCAGGTGATGGACAGGCAGGGACTAGGTGATGGACAGGCAGGCACTACGTGATGGACACGGGACGCGCGGGGACAGGCCTGGCAGGAGCTGCGCGCTGGGGGAAGGGCCTGTCTGAGGCCCCTGCTCTGCATTTGCCGACGGCAGGAGGCTGGCTCCCCGGCCAGGAAGCTTCTGGGGGTCCCTGTGCATGAGAAGGAGCCAGAGCCGGCTCCGTGCTCCCCACACGCTCCCCACGCCTGGCGAGTGGCCTTTGGAAAGCCCGTCCTCGCCCTGCCACCGCCGGCTCTGGAGTGGAGACGGGCCACGTGGCTGGGAGTGTCTGTCCGCCGAGGGCACAGGGCGAGGCCGGGGAGGGACTTCCTTCTGGGTCTGAGGACTGAAGGGGCCCCTTTCTAAGAGCCCAGCTCGGGGCCGAGGGAGGAGCTGGGGGAGGAGGAAGGGCCGACGTAGATGCTCCCCCAGCTCCTCCCTCTGACGCGGCGCCGAGGTGTCCGCGTGCGCTTGCTGTCCCTGCTTCTTGTTTTAAAGCAGAAGTGGAGGCCGGGGCGGGCCTCGCTCTCCTGGGCTTTGCTGTAACCACTGAGGACACGGCAGTGACCACGGAGTCAGAGGCGTCCGACCTCAGACCCGCGGGGCTTTCTGGGCGGTTGCTGATGCCAGGCGCGGAGGGGCCCTGGGTGGAGGCTGGGGGGGCCCTGGAGGGAGGCCCCGCCTGCCCCGGCTCA